TTTTTCTCTCAGTGTTTGTGTGTAAATGGTTAAATGTTAGAGAAAGGGGTTCGCCTGGCAAGTAGTGTTAGATGGGTGCCAGTCACGTCTAGAAGAGAGTTTGGGACGTGACAAAGTTGGTATCAGAGCCTAGGTTTTAAGTCCAGTGTCATGGAGCAGTGTTTAGTAGAGTCTTGTTCATGGGTATGTAGGCGCCCATACTTATGATCTTGAGGCTGCTAAGCATTTAGGATGTTTCCCTTCTTTCATTCCTTGATCGTGCATTGAGATAACATGAGTTTGACTTCGGATTGTTTATTTCGCAGATGGCTAGGACACACACACCTTCATCTGCTAGACGTGGTGCTGGACGGGGTACTACTCGAGGTGGTGGTCAAGTTGGGGCTCATCAAACTAGAGCTCAGACTAGTAGACGGGTCGCTCCTCAACCAAAAGTTGTAAACACGGGTCAGTCCCAAGCTACTATGCCAAATCGAGTGCAAGAACAAATGGTTCAGGATGCTCCACCATCAGTTCCAGTTGATGTGCCTACGGTTACCTTACCTGCAGATGCAGTGGTGAGGTTGTTGAATGTGTTGGAGGCATTAATGCCTACTGAGGGTGGACTTCCAGCTCCCCAGACTACTTCGCAGGCGTAAGCACAGGTTCAGCTGAATGTTGCAGCTCCTCAAATATCCCCTCAGCAGGTCGTTCATCCAGTTGCAAATACAGGGCAGTCTAAGGATCTTAAGAATTTCATAGATCTTAAGCCACCAGAGTTCGATACTACACAGGCTTCTATTGAGCCCTAGAAGTTCATTCAGCGTTGTGAGAAGATACTATCTACTTTGGGGCTGAAGGAGACTCGAGGGGTGGAATTTGCCACTTTTCTATTTTCAGGATCTGCAGAGTCATGGTGGAATTTAGTTCAAAGAGGTAGACGAGCAGGTTTGTCACCTATTACTTGGTTAGAGTTTTCAGCTATGTTTATGGATAGGTTCGTTCTACTGAGCAAGCGAGACGACATGAGACGTCAGTTCGAGCAACTGCGCTAGGGTAGTATGATAGTTACAGAGTATGAGGCTAAATTCAATGACTTAGCCAGTTATGCACCTTTTCTAGTTGCAGATGAGCATGAGAAGGTGGGGAGGTTCGTGGATGGGCTTGAGCATCGTTATCGGGGTCCTGTGGTTAGGGATGTTCGAGGTGGTTCGTACGAAGAGGTAGTGGATACTGCTCTCCGTTATGAGTCTTATCAAGAGAGGGACAGGACCGAGCGAGAAAGCAAAAGGGCTCGTAGCGCCGGTAGGTTTAGTGGTGCTCCATCTGGGAGTAAAAGTGGCTTTAATCGTGGGCAGTCCAGACCTACTCAGTCAGAGTCAGTGGTGCAGTCTTCTAGGAGTACTTATCCTGCTAGACAGGGGCAGCAGTAGACACAAAGAAAGGATAATAACTCATATCAGTCAGGTCAACATCCGAGGTGTTCGAATTGTGGTAGAAATCACAGTGGTCGTTGTTTTGGAACAGATGGGGCTTGTTTTACTTGTGGTCAAAAAGGACATATTGCTAAGTATTGTCCTAGAGGATATTCTGCTACTAGCCATGCTACTCCACAGCCGCAGAGAACGTTTACAGGTACACAAACTCAGACTCAGCCAACTAGAGCCGCTCCGCAGGTTTCTCGTGCACAAGGTCGACAGGGTACATAGACTGCTGAGGGAGCGGGTGGACCTCCGAGATTCTTTGCTATGGCCAGACAAGATGCCGAGGCATCTAATGCAGTCTTCACAGGTATTATCACTATCGGTTCTTATGGATCTTACGCTCTTATTGATCCTGGTTCTACGTATTCATATGTATCTCCATCTTTTTCCATATACTTAGAGCGAGGAGTTGAGTCTCTTAATGTGATTTATATTGTGTTGACCCCAGTGAGGGAGACTATATCTGTGGATAGAGTCTATAGAGACTGTGTGATATTTATTCAGGGCAAGGACACCGTAGTCGATCTACTAGTATTGCCTATGTCTGACCTTGATGTAATTATGGGTATGGATTGGTTAGCTTCATCTTATGCTTCAGTTGATTGTCATTCCAAGCTTATACCTTTTGACTTTCCTAGAGAACCATGTTTAGTGTGGAAAGGCATAACTCCTCTGACTCGGGGAAAGATAATATCATATGTAAAAGCACGTCGAATGATTAATAATGGGTGCTTGGGTTTTATTGCTACCGTTCATGATACGCGCTTGGAGGATGTTACTATTGATAGTGTTCCAGTGGTTCGAGAATTTGCTGATGTGTTTCCAGAAGATTTACCCAGGCTGCCTCCGACAAGAGAAATTGAGTTCAGTATTGATTTGGTGCCAGGAACTCAACCTATCTCTATTCCTCCATACTGTATGGCCCCAACGGAGTTGAGAGAATTAAAGGTTCAACTTCAAGAGCTACTTGATAAGGGATTGATTAGGCCTAGTGTGTCGCCTTGGGGTGCACCTGTGTTATTTGTTAAAAAGAAAGATGGCACGATGAGAATGTGTATTGATTACAGGCAGCTGAATAAGGTGACGATCAAGAATAAATATCCATTACCACGTATTGATGATTTATTCGACCAGCTACAGGGTGCAACTCACTTTTCAAATATTGACCTGAGATCGGGTTACCATCAGCTGAGAATTAAGACCGAGGATATATCCAAGACAGCGTTTCGGACTAGGTACGGGCATTTTGAATTTTTGGTGATGTTCTTCGGGCTTACTAATGCCCCCGCAACATTTATGGACCTCATGAATCGGGTGTTCAAGCCATTCCTAGATCATTTTGTAATTGTATTTATTAATGACATTTTGGTCTACTCTCGAAGTGAGGCAGAACATGAACAACACTTGAGAGTTGTGCTACAGACACTTAGGGAGCGAACGCTTTATGCCAAGTTCTCAAAGTGTGAATTTTGGTTGGATACAATTTCCTTTTTGGGACATGTGGTGTCACGAGATGGGATTCAAGTTGATCCAAAGAAGATAGAGGCAGTTCGAGATTGGCCTCGACCCACTACTCCTACAGAGATACGTAGCTTCTTAGGCCTAGCCGGATATTATAGAAGGTTTGTTGAGGGTTTCTCAAAGATAGCCACTCCATTGACTCGATTGACTCAGAANTAACTCAGAAAGGTGTTGCATTTCAGTGGTCGAATGAGTGTGAAGAAAGTTTTCAGAAATTGAAGGTCGTATTGACTACGACTCCAATTTTGACACACCCTACAGGTGCAGGGGTTTTTATTATTTATTGTGATGCGTCTCGAGTCGGTTTGGGTTGTGTGTTGATGCAGAATGGCAAAGTAGTAGCTTATGATTCTCGACAGCTAAAGAACCATGAAAAGAATTATATAACTCATGACTTGGAATTGGCTGCGATCGTATTTGCACTTAAAATCTGGCGTCACTATCTTTATGGTGAGCCATGTGAAATCTATACTGATCACAAGAGTCTGCAATATATATTCAAGCAAAGAGATCTGAATCTGAGGCAAAGACGGTGGTTAGAGTTACTTAAAGATTATGATCTTACTATTTTATATCATCCCGGAAAGGCGAATGTGGTGGCAGACGCCTTGAGTAGAAAGTCTATGGGTAGCTTGGCCCGATTTACTGCTGAAGAACGACCTATGGTTATGGATATTCAGGTGTTGGCCAATCGGGGAGTGCGTATTGATCATACATTGTCGGGCAGATTACTTGCGGGTTTGGTAGCACAATCATCCTTGGTTGGACAGGTCAAGGCTCTTCAATTTGAAGATTCCCATCTTGCTAAACTCCGAGATCGAGTGCAGAATGGGGATGTTAAGTTATTTGCTATTGACAGTGAAGGTGTGTTACGTCGACATGGTAGATTGTGTATCCTCATGGTAGGTGATGTGAAACAGTTAATTCTCGAAGAGGCTCATAACTCCCGCTACTCTATTCATCCAGGTGCTACTAAAATGTATCAAGACTTGCGTGAATTGTACTGTGGAAAGGTATGACGTATGATATTTTGAAACATGTGACTAGTTGCTTAAATTGTCAGCAGGTGAAATATGAACACCAAAAACCAGGCGGTGTGATGCAGAATTTAATTATCCCGGAGTGGAAGTGGGAAATGATTACTATGGATTTTGTAGTTGGGTTGCCACGTACTTTTAGAAAACATGATTCAGTATGGGTGATCATGGACAGACTCACAAAGTCCGCGCATTTTATACCAGTTCGAGTTACTCACGTTGCAGAACAGTTAGCAGATATTTACCTCCGCGAAATTGTTCGACTTCATGGTGTGCCTATTTCTATAATATCGGATCGGGGTGCACAGTTTACTGCTGAGTTTTGGAAGTCTTTTCAGAAGTCATTGGGTTCTCATGTTGAATTGAGCACAGCTTTCCATCCACAGACGGACGGACAGTCCGAGCGGGTTATTCAGATTTTGGAAGACATGCTTAGAGCTTGTGTAATTGACTTTGGTGGTCATTGGGACGATCAGTTGCCGTTGGCAGAGTTTGCTTATAATAACAGCTATCAGTCGAGTATACAAATAGCGCTGTTTGAAGCTCTATATGGTCGTAAATGTCATTCACCAGTTGGATGGTTTGAACCTGGTGAAGCACAGCTATTGGGTCCAGATTTGGTTCAGCAAGCTTTGGAGAAAGTTGCATTGATACGTGAATGACTTCGGACAGCTCAAAGTAGACAAAAATCCTACGCAGATAAGAGAGTTCGTGATTTGGAGTTCATGAAAGGAGAAAAAGTCTTTTTGAAGGTGTCCCCTATGAAAGGAGTCATGAGATTTGTGCGCAAAGGTAAGCTAAGTCCGAGGTATATTGGTCCGTATGAGATTTTAGATCGAATCGGGTCGGTGGCGTATAAACTTGCCCTGCCTCCGAGGTTGTCTGCGGTTCATCCCTTATTTTATGTGTCTATGCTTAGACGATATGTTCGTGATGATAGTCATAAGATTCAGCCAGAGGATGTGGAGCTTGATGAGAACTTAACTTATGAAGAAGGTCCGATATCTATTCTTGATAGGCAAATGCGGCAATTGAGGTCAAAAAAGATTGCTTCAGTGAAAGTATTATGGCGTAACCATCCCACAGAGGAAGCAACGTGGGAGTTTGAAGCGGATATGCGAAGCAAGTACCCTCAATTGTTTGAGATGTCAGGTACACTTTCTAACTCGTTCGAGGACGAACGCTTGTTTAAGTAGGGGAGAATGTAATAATCCGACTTTTTTTTTTACTTATTAATTGTGAGACTAGAAACTTAATTTCTATTATAGCTATTGGAACAAATATAAGTTAGAGGGAAATAATTTATTAAAATAAATATAATATAATGTAGTAATAACTTTGCTAGTTGGCCAGTTCACATTACATGTGGCAGTGGGATACTCATGGGCTTTAGTTAATAAAAGTAAGGTACATGGCCCGACCATCACAATTGTTACCCACCTTTTAGTAGAACATTAGGGTATTAGAATATTAAAAGTTAATACTAACAAGTAAAGAGGCTCTGGAATACTAAGGCGGCGTACATAAGAGACCTACAGACTACGAATTGTCTTCATTGACAATCACAGTTAGGAGCTCTAACTTTTGAGCAAAGGAATTGGAGTACTTGTGAAAGCTCCAGGTATTAGTATGTTTTGTATGCTTTTTAGTTGGTGTTTGTGATAATATTAGCGTGTAATATAAATGTTAATAATTAAGCAATAATGGAAGGCATCATGAATTAATTATGAAAACAATTTGCTACTGTTAATTAGGAGAATTAAAAGTACGTATTATGTGGAAAACCATTGTAGATGCACTTTCAGTTTTACTTCTTTCTAGTAGGAGATAATGATTTATTTTTAATTAGACAATGAGTGGATACATGTTTATGGAAACAATGATTGAATATAGTTTTTAATTACGTATATTCCAGCGGTGACTTTCCATGTGAGTTAGTAAACCAAGTTTTCAAGGTTTCGAAACTGTTGCGTCTATAAGCTACAATATCACTTTATTCTATTTCATACTCTATGATTATTTTTCGGGCCTACCTTTAAAACTATAATATTTAATAGGTAGAGTAGTAAGAGTTTAAAAGTTAGGGATATTGAGAGTTGATCCCGACTAGCATCATTGACATTGTTAAATAATATTTTGGATAGATTGAGGTCAGTGGAGGCCGTTTGGTCAGTGTTCTAGACGTTGCAAGTTTGGGGAGCGTTCCGCTAGCGAGGTAAGTGAGACTTTAAGCTTTGATGCTTGCTTTTCTAAAACCCGTTGTGAAAGTGTGTTTTCTCTGACTGGTTCATGTGTTGGGACAAGCGTGCGCTTGGCAGAGTCGGTGGTCTCAGACTAGTCGCAAATATATTATTTTATGAAAAAAAATATTATTTTATAAGTTGTTTGATAGTGTGATACGGCTGTGCGCTAGGATATTAAGTTTGATACGGCTGTGCGCCATGATATTAAGTTTGATACGGCTGTGCGCCATGATATTAAGTTTGATACGGCTGTGCGCCATGATGTTGAGTTTGATACGGCTGTGCGCCATGATGTTGAGTTTCATACGGTTGTGCGCCATGATGTTGAGTTTCATACGGCTGTGCGCCATGATGTTGGGGAATTGTGTATGCCTTTGTACATCACCTGAGCATTGTGTATGCTCTGTTACATATTTGAGGCATTGTGGTGCCATTGTGGACTCGTAAGTGTGTTGGTAAATTTCTTTCGCTGCAATTATGATAAGTCCTTAGTGGGTATTCTTGTTAGTTAATTATTAATAACTCTATTGATACACATATATTGAGTTATTGTATAATTATTATATTTACTATATCATTCGTGTTGTAGTGTGTATGTATTTTCTAACACTTGTTCCAGAGGTATTTAAAGTGGCGGGTCGAGGATCTTACTGGGTTATATTTACGTATAACTCACTCCTTACCTGCACCTCTATGCAGATACCGTTGCGGGAGATAGAGCTAGTGGCTGACGAGTTTGTTCGAGTGGATTCTATTGCTGAGGTGAGCCACCGCATTGTTCGTGGAGGCTTCATTTTGGACTTTCTTAGTTCATGTTAGTTATTTCTTTTTTTGAGGTTTGCATACCCGTCAATAAAACTCATATTACTCTGTTAGATGCTCCATGGTCTTAGCGTGGGATTTGGGCCAGAGTTTGATTGTTTGAGTGATTGTGGGTTTTTCTATCAATTGACTAAGGTATTGGGCAATAATCATTACCTCTTTATTTATTAATAATACTTTAGGCCTGTACTTTTTCTCTCAGTGTTTGTGTGTAAATAGTTAAACGTTAGAGAAAAGGGTTCGCCTGGCAAGTGGTGTTAGCTGGGTGCCAGTCACGTCTAGAAGGTAGTTTGGGACATGATAGGTTTTGTGCCCTCGCTCTTGGTGGAACTCGCAAAGGGCCTTCGATTATCTGGTACTAGGGTTTGACCTCATCTTTTGTGGACACTTCACCTTTGGTCCGAGCTTCTCCAAGGAGTAGATTATTTCTATAGGTGACACACAAAAATTGTGAGGGGATAATAAATGGGGTATACCTCTTTCATTCCGGTGAGTCCCTATCCTTCATCTGGGTGGGCCCTCTTCAGGGAGGGAGGAGAACACGATGGCAGCTCTGACATATGGTAGATGTCGTTCCCTGTTGGGTCGCGGAGCTGCGAGGTCCCTTCTGATATCATTTCTTCGATATGTCCTAGATTCGGCCTGTACCGAGTCAATCGATGAGTCAGTCCATTAAGGTCGTCCTCGTCTGCTCGGACCTCGGCATAATGCGCATTGTGTATTTCATCCCAAGTAGATGGGGGTACTTCATGAGCCAACTTAATAATTTTCTTGTCGCCCTTGAACCATTCTTGCTCAGCCCGTTCTGAAAGGCTGTGACCGCCATCCCTTCCGATACATTCATCAAGGTCATCCTTACTCGGTTGAACCGAGCGAGGAAGTCCCTCAATCCCTCTCTCGGAGTGATAATAGCAAATATGTCATTTACTCTTACCTCGGCCTTCTTGGCCCCAGCATGGGCTGTGACAAACTTGTCGACCATCTCTTCGAAAGTTTCAATGGAACACGCAGGAAGTTGTGAATACCACGTTAACGCTCCCCCTATGAGGGTTTCACCGAATTTTTTCAACAAAATGAAAGACACTTGTTCTTTGGTGAGGCCATTACCTTTCACGACAGTGACATAGTGAGTCACATGATCTTCAGGGTCGGTCGTGCCATCATATATCCTGAGGTAGGGTGGCATTTTAAAGGTTTTTGGTATGGCATGGGGGAGGCGTCATCACTATACGGTTGTTCGACGAACCGTCCAGCATCTCTCTTTGGCAAGAGCTTAGGGGCGTCCGACATCTTGTCGATCCTTTCCTGATGTTCTCTCATTTGGTCCCAAAGTGCATCCTTTTCAGAATGGCTGAGAGAGTGTCGTCACCTGCACTATAAATGACATTGTGAGTAATACATGTCGTTGGAGGAGGAGGAAGTTGGTTATGTTGCTTGTCTGATGGTTGTATAATGCAAGTCCTTGTGCTTTCTATAGTCGTATCCCGAGCGGGCTTATGGAGGACGCTGGTTAGCATATCAGTTAGCCAAGCCTCAAGGAGCTTTTTTACAGCCGGGGGAATCTCCTCCGCCACAGATGTGGAGACTCCCTTACTAAGAGATTTTGTGATGCTGCAGTGAAGAGGAGGTGACCCATCTCGTCTAGGGGATGCATTGGGCATTGCATGTTCACAGCTCTCATTGGTGACGTTCACGAGGTTGGTTGGGAGGTCACTTATTATTCTCGTCCTTTGTTCTCTGTTACCTGCCATATTGAATTTGTGCATATAAAAAAGGAGATCTTGCTCTTGCTTTTTTTTTTTTACTTTAGTGATCTGTGTTAGTTATAGATCTAGAGGAAACTAAAAATTTAACTAGAAAATTCCCACAGACGGCGCCAAATTATTTGACCAAAAGTGTAGCTTTCGACAAAAACATTTGTATTTATATAATAGTGGATTAGACTTAGTTAATAATATCTCTAGATATGAGTTCCGAAAATGTGAATAACATTAGACAAATCTGGTGGTGGATTGATAACAACATGCATTAACTATTTCAAAAAGTATGAGCAATAATGGAGAAGTAACTAGCAATAAATAAAAATAAATAACATTTATTCTCTGATTTTGATGGAAAAGTGTGGAATAATATGTACAAGAATTTTGATGAAAAGATAGTGTTTGTATCTTTATAAAAGAGAGAGAGAGAGAGAATCGTTTATCAAAAATTTGTTCTTATCAAAATGAATATCACATGCCCCTTTTCATTATCTTTTTTCCTCTCTACATGGGACATATCCCTAACAAACCCTAATAGTATATGTGCAGAGAATATTCCCTCTATTATCCTATTCTAAAAACTAACCGTTACAGTCCTTTCCGCGGTGCTCGACCTCGATCATTGTTGACATCCCGACCACGAGCTTCGCCATTTCCTGATCGACCTCGACTGACTCTTTCTTCAATGCTACCTCGCCCTAAATGTTCCGTGACGGATTTCGACCTATACATAGCCGTCTTCAAGAAAAATTATGAAGAGCAGAGGAAGAAGAAAGAACAAAGTCATAAAAGAGAACATTTTCTCCTCGATTAAATTCCTTTATAATGAGCTACACTAATAATCGAGTAAAGCTAATATAACGAAGAAGGTCCAAGATTGAAATATGTCTTTTTTGTTAATTGAAATTTATTTTTTTAGATTGTCGCATGTAAAATAGTATTCACTCTTTTTTAGCTACTAGTTTTACGGTACGCGCGTTGCGCGTATAACCTATCTAAATGAGTATAATTTTTTTAAAAATATATATAAATATTATTTTTGAATTAAAATAAATGTGTAAATTTATTTCGACAAAGAATATTGATTCTATATAGCTAATTCAATAAGGAATATCAATTTATACTTTTCGCTCTCTACGTTTTCTTTTATCTCTTTTAACTACTATCTTAAATTACTTATGAATAAATGTATCTAATTTATTTCCATTAATTTCAATATATAAATTTGTCTTATCTATGTTTTACTTTTCGAGTATTGTAATTGAATTTGTAATTTAATATGTGTATAAATTTACAATATGTATTCAACTTATTCAAATAATTAACTTAAAGTACATTATAGTATTTATTACTTTAAATTAAAATACTACTATTATTTTCAAAATGTAAGCATATCGTATTAAACTCATTTATATATTTTTTCATACTCGGCCTAGTATGTTGTAAGTTTGGTTTATATATTGTTAGAAATCTTTAACTTTTGAAGAGTTAAATCATATCTAAAATTTTATTAGTAGATTTCTAAAATGTTTATATATATTTTGTCTAATACGCATAAGAAAAAGTCATAATTACTTTACACAATTTATTTAAGGAAAGGATATGTAAATAAATTTTTTTTTGGTTTTAAATTCCTAAAATTTTGGAGTTTCTATATATGCAGTTTGAATAGGGAAAATTTAATGACTAAAATTTAGTTGATTTAAAGTCCTAAATATTAGTAGAATAATTAAATTACAATTACAACCAATATAAAATCTATTTTTAAAGGGTAAAAAATACGAACGATATTTCGCTAAGGGGCTTCGTGCTAGGATATGCACGATCCGCGTGTAACTTCTATCGATGCATATAAAATTATAAAAAATATAAACCCTTAAAAATAAGATTTTTAAATATATAAGCTCTTGAATATGACAAATATTGAGCCTACTTAGTCAAAAAAGTTAGTGGATGGCCTATCTAAGCATGACAACCACCAAGATAATCTTGAAAGTTTAGTGTTATTATGTATTTTGTTCTTTTATATTAATTTCGTATCAAAATAGTTGTCTAGGTACCATGTATTCTAAGACAAGTTAACTACAAAGAGAAGAAAAATTAGCAATAGATAAATTATGTAGTTAAATAATAAAATTCATTGCTAATCCTACTTAGTGACGTAATCAGCTATATATTATAAAAAATCCTATTAGTTACAAGATGAATTTAGTAATTAATTCCTGTTTTGTAAAGTTAAGTTATGTCACAAATTTTCTTAGTAATAATATTAGTTTTTTTCTTTACCAAAAAATAAAAGTCTTTTTCCATCTATTTATTTTAACATATGCATTGAGGTAATTTAGGTATCCTCTAAGTGATTGGCATTTTAAACAGGTTCAAAATTTTAAAAGCCACGACACAACAAATTAATAAGATGTTAAAATCCAAATAATATGAGGCTACTTGATTATGTGCAATCAGCTGCTATTAGATTTGTAGAAAATGCACATTTATATTATATAAGTACAAATTAATAACTTATATCTATTAAAAATAAAAAACAACTATAAGAATTCTGGTAAAAAAGACTATAAATTTGTTTGGAGAAATTCTTTGATGTGAGAAGAATTAAGGTTGATTGATCTTCAACTTTGCTTCTTTCCTAATGATTAAACAACTCATGAATGCGACATGCTAAAGTTACTATCGAACTAATATAATAGTACTAATTAAAGCAAGCATAATCGAATTATAATTCTGCATGAAGTGTTATTATAGAGTTGTATGATATACCTGAATGGACGAAGATACATTAATAAAAATTCTCAAGATCTAAGCAGAGCTATGCATTTTACTGCATTAAAGCAATACCAACTAAAGTTTATTCTTAATTAAAAGTACTAAATCATAACAATCCACGAGTAGGAAAAATAGTTTTTCTTAACTCAACGTTTAATAATCATAAAATCTAAAATACAATCTCACATAGCTTCTATTTTGCTAAAAAATAGAGTTTGCGTGGTGAATACGCGTTCACCTTAAAAAAATTTCTCTATATTGGCATTCCCAATTTTTTCAAGTTAATATTCCCTAACCATGAAATAGAAAACATAGATAAAGCACCAAGAATTATCAGGAATTAGAAATACAACTCAAAAATTATGAATGTTGTCCACCGAAATCAAATATATAAGGTATAACGACATATAGCATAGAACTTAGGAAACCACATAAATTGCAGTAAAACCAAAGAATACATAATCAAATTTATAAAGTTACGGTATCTAATATCAAGGCGATAATCAAACCAACTTAAAGTTAGATAAATTAAAGTAATGCAGTTGATAGCTTGATAAGCAATAGAGTTGTGGGCATTGTGGCTAAACTCAGTTTTACATTCATCGTTCTTTTATAGATGTGATTTTCTAACCTAAATAGAATTTTATTTAGATCTAATAGTAAAAAGTTAATTTCAAATAAGGAAAAGTATCTTGGAATGTGTTATGGAAGTTGCGTTAATTTCAAATAAGGAAAGGTAACGTGGAATGTATTATGGTAATTTTATATAGTTTAAGTAAGAAAAGAATCTAGTTAAAAAATATTATTTGATTTGAAAGTTC